CTTTATTTAACCAGGAAGTCCCTTGAGACCTAAATCCCTCGAAAAAGAGATGTCGGTCTCAAGGGACTTCCTGGTTAAATAAAGGTAAAAAAAAAAAAAAAAAAAAAATTGACTGTAAAAAAAGATGCACGAGGAGAATTTGTCACTCTAAAAATCTATTTCTGGCTATAAGCTGCTGCAGCGTAAAATCATTTACAAAAAAGAGCAAATGTGACATCATGGACAAATCTTACAATATTTATTTAGAAGTTGTTTGTTATTCCAAACTTTTTGTTTTTGCTCGTGTGTTATAGTTTCGGTTTGCCAATGGCCTAGCCTATAGCCTACCATCACAACTCCTATTACAACTTAATAATGCAAATGTATAGTCCAACATTTATGCAGTCTTAGTGTGTTTTGCCTCTTAATGAACGGCGTGATGAAAGTGGAGAATGAACTCTGTTTTACAAACGTGACGAGAAAGTATGCCTACACTGAACCGATCCAATTTATCTTAAAACTAATTGTGTAACACAAATAAAATATCTTGTCATTTGTTTTACACCTTATAGGGTACATAATATATCTCATAGTTTTTTTGTCTCAGAATCTCTCCGTCTTTGTCTTACTGTAGGCCCTATTAGAGAAAGAGAAACTAAAAGCGTCTAATAGATGATAATAACCAACTCGGTAGTTTCCGGTCACAGCATTCAGTGCACTTAGGCCTACATGAGAACGCACATTATTCTGTAAATTGGATTAAACGAACATGCAGCAGTTAATTGTGTTCGTCTTTTCATTAACAGTGTTTTTTTCTTACTTATCATATTTCATTGTTGAGTTTAGATTTTTAAATGAATTTGACTGATAAATGCATTGTTTATGTGCGCTAGTGCTTTTAAAATCTCAGTCTTTTAAAATCTTTGAATGAATAAATGCGCGGTACAGTCATTAAATAAATGTAACAATGTTAAATATTGCATTAATCTTATACAGTAACGCACACAGCTTAGAAGACAATGACAGTGAATATTAAGCATTTTGGGCATAGAAATGTAAATCACATAAAGTAAAATGATTGACAATGAAAAAAGACAGAATAATTATTTGTATTAGTTTTACAATGTGAATACCATACTTACAGGGAGCCAGTCCACCACTAAGAGACTTAAACTTTTTGTCTGTCTTTCTTACCCCAACCCCACCCATCCCACCAACTCTAAAAAGAAACACCAACTCTTAAAGTAACAGTAGTATATTCATGCAGCTGTCTGTCATGTTAATCAAAGAACAAAAGACAAAAAAAAATATCACTCTCTGCTCTTGACTGAATAATTACTTTTATAAGTAATTATAAGAATTAATATGTATTTACTTTTTACAATGAAGACAATCCAGTGTTATTTTACATTTGTTCACTTTAATTTCTGTAGTATTTCTTACATGAATGTGTATACCCAACTGAAAAATGTAAAGGCATGTTTATTTCATATCTCTCTTTATTGTATTGCATTTATTTGTGCAGTTGTCCATTTGTTATTTTATTACTGACATTTTTACTTGTTTTTTTATGAAAATAAAATTTTGCATTGAAGAAATGTATATTTTTGTTTGTATATGCTGTCAATTATAGTTGTTTGAAAGAAAATCAGAATCGACAAAAATCGTTATCGGCAGGCCACTTACAAAAAAAAAACGGAAATCGTTAATCAGCCAAGAAAACGGCAATCGGTGCATCTCTAGATAATAACATGCAGGCATTTTTAAATACAAGTCATTCAGTCTGCCAGGTTCACTCAGTCGCTGTTCGCAAATTCCTTCAGAAAACAATGTGTGGCACACCTCAGCATTTTCAGCTTTCGGAAGAAAACTAATCTAAATTGCATTTACTATAAAATAAAATAACGGACAATGTTGCAGTGTGAGCAACAATTTGAAGAAGAAAAAATTACAAACAAAATATTATTTTATCCTAGGATATATAATCGGAACAATTCAACACTGAAAAATTCCTAAAGAATTCCTAAAGAATACAAATGTGGAACGCACAAAAGCTTTAATTCCACAGAGTTTGACCAAACGTTTTATGGACATGAAATAGTTTCATAAAGATCTGCCATCTCTCACATACATAAATGTATTTTTATCCAATTGTTATTGACTCAGTACAACAAAAACATCAAGTTGAGATACACTCAAAAACCTATGTCTCTTGAAGGATCTAAGGATGGTTCTTAATAGCAACGTGTGTTTAGCTTCAAGACAGCGGTCATACATCAATGTTGGATTTGTGCTGGTTAGATGCAGTCCAGATGAAGTAGGGTTGAAGTCTGAGCTTTGAAATATATGCAACTAAGCTTATTCAATAAACCCTGATTATTTCTCATCATCACTTCGTCTCCGGCTTCCTTCTATTTCACAGCCTCCTCTGTAAAACTACAGTTGTGGGTACCAGACAAAATACAGGTTTGTTAACTGATTTTGGCTTTCAGATAACACTTGCTGCTAACTGTTTTTGGGCATCAGACAAAACTGACAATTTTGGATACCAGACAAAACAAATGTCTTCTGATGAGATCTGGTAAAGAGGTTGGATCCAATATTACTGGTGTGGAGATTCAATCATTTTTGGACAGCAGGATATAGACACAAACTTGGAATACACTTTGTACGCACCTTGTCAAACCTGGACCTGATGAGTGAAGTGAGGGTTAATTCTGAAGCCACTCAAAATAATATGCCAGAAAGGTTTTTTTTTTCTTTCTTTCTCCAATTTAATACAATACGATCAACCAAAAAAAAAAAAAAAAACATGATTTGTGACCTGTTCAAATTAAACCACTGTAAGTCCATGTGTATTAACTGTACAATTACAGTTATGAATATTAACTTATTCTGCGACTGTGATGACGGTTCATGTAAACGAGAAGAGAAACACGGCTGATCTCAAATGATCTTGACTACAGGGAAGTATTTGTGTGCTGAGAAGTCAAATTCAGGAAGGGCCTGCAAAGAACAAACACAAGGATGAAATGAATTTCACAGTATCTCATTTCATCTATATATGCAACATGTGTTTTTGGAAGGAATTCAAGTTAGGCTCCATAAACAGCATTTGTGACTTGATGTCTGTTACCACAAGACATCATTTTGACTCATCTCCAGTTTGTAATAAAAATGAGTCTATGGGGCAAAACATTCTGAGATTCAAAGCAAAAATGTTCAGCGCATATTTTAAACTTATTTACTTAAATTTTAAACTATTTTAAGCATTTACTACGATTTAAAACCTCCCTCGTTTGGAGCGCTTGTTTCAGAACCTGGTGTGTTTTCTCCCTTAGTTCAGTTTGTTTAGGTTTGGTTAGCAATCCGATCCAACAAACCAGGCTTTATCACAGTGTTTGATAGGAAATTACATATGTGGCATTGAAAAACAACAAGTGTTTGTTATACTAATGTCTCTCAAAATTAATCTTGGATTAACCTGTAGCAAAGACGAAGCGTTTACGCTTTAAAATGCCACCTAACTGCTATTCTCTGAAATAGGCACATGGTAAGAATGTTGTCCCGATGAAGCCTTGATTCCTGCTGTTTTCTATCCGATGGGAATGCGATAATATTTTAGCAAGTGTATAATAATATACAATAATAATAATTCACATGAAATCCGATTTTTTACAAATCCAAGCTACTTTCATGTGGTTTGTAGTCCTATTCAAATCTCGTTTCCTGAAATCTGTTTCATTCTGATTGCTCTGATCAGATTTTGTTTAGCTTTTATATGTTACTTTCTCACGCCACATAAAACACGTCAGACGTCATATCAGAAGCAAGGTTGCATTGTGTTGTTGTCGATGTACAGGTCACGCTGAAAATTATAATATGATGGAGACATCTCTGTGGTCCAGTGATGAGGAGTCTTAACTTGCAAACCCATGTTGTTTTTGGCATGGTTTCTACCAACGCAAAGTTATTTGCCATGGAAACCAACGCAAATATTCCGGAAAACAAAAGAGAGCCAAGGTGTTGTGTTCATACGTGAAATTGTGTTGACTTAACCCTTGTGTAATGATGTAATGTGTGAGAACGGAAGTGAAATGAGTAAACAAGATGGATGAAGTTTGCTAGCTGTCTCGTGTGCTTTTTTGCTGTTTAATAACTCCTGACAGACACCACACACGAGACACACAAATCAAATCTGAAGTTTCGATACACAGTGTGGACTGTTATTCATTTAGATCAGATTCCAATCGGATACAAAAATAATCGGGCGTGGACTGACGGTGTGAACGGAGTCTATGAGTGGAATCCCGGAACATAAACAGGTGCACTGACCAATGAGAGGAAAAAATGTAACACAATTTTGACCGTTTATGTTGCCTTTTGAAATTGAACCGAACCAAGAAGAAACCTGCAAAATTGTAAGAGTTGTAATTCCTTTTTTTGTAAAAAAGCAAACCGATCTCCAGGTCTGAAAAAACCCTTTATTCTACCAAAACTAAATTGTAAAATAGTAATTGTCTAAATTATAGCAGCAGGACAACAAGGACTTTCGCACTGGATGAACTTTTTCATAGCCTTTTTCAAAGCTTTTGGAGGAACTAAATTAGCTAATGCCGGGGACACACTTAACGACTAGCTAACATTCGAAGACTGAACTGAACACACTAGAGCTCTAGTTCCTAGAACTACCTGGTGCGAAAGCGCCGAAGCTAGGCCAGGGATGGGCAAACTCGGTCCTGGAGGGCCACTATCCTGCAGAGTTTAGCTCTAACCCTGATCAGACACTCCTGAACCAGCTGATCAATGTCTTCAAGATTGATCAAATGCTACAGGCAGGTGTGTTTGAAACTCTCCTCCGGGACCGAGTTTGCTCGAGGCAGATAAACTTCTGATTTTAAGTTACATGGTCAAGGCAGGAGTTGAAATATTGGATCTAACTTTCAAATAAATGTCTATTGTAACATTTATTCTGTTGCAGACTCTCTCCCAATAGATGTCTCATTAAGTGCAATACTAAAAACACAATATTATTTTTACAAACTGAGAGACGAGTTAAAATGTTTTGTCCCTGGTAACAGAGACGGTCCATAGAGCTGAAGTTGTACTGAACCCAGAATATTCATATAAACATGTTGTACCTTAGTTTCCTTCTTGTGTCCTCCAGCCAGCAGTTTCATTACAACAATATTGGGTTTGGCCACTTTAAGGATGCGGTTAACCTACAGCAGAAAGCAACATATCACAATATTACACAATATATAACTGACAATGTAAGAATCAATGCAACACTATATGACTTCACATTCTCCATTGTATATAATCATTTTGTTTCCATCCATCAAAAAGAAAATATGAGTCATTTTTTTCATTTTAAAGTCTTAATATTATTTTCAAAAAGGCAATACTACAAAGTTATGTAGGCTGAATATCCTCCAAAAATAGCTACACTGTGATATATACACTAACATTAAAACATGGGAGGTCCGTTTTTTTAAAGAAAATACAACTTTTATTCAGCAAGGATCATACTGATCATAAATTACAGTAAAGACTTTGACATTGTTGTGAAAAACTTCTTATAAATGTAATGTAACTTTCTAATAATTAAAAAAAAATCACAGTTTAGACAAAAACCAGCATAACTGTTTTCAACATTGATAATAATAAGAAATGTTTCAAATCATCATATTAGAATGATTTCTGAAGGTTCATAAGACACTGAAGACTGGAGTAATAATGCTGAAAATTCAGCTTCGCATCACAGAAATAAATTACATTTTAAAATAAATATTAAAATCGAAAACCAAATACCAATTCCTACTATATATTTGTGTTAATAAGACTGGACTGGCTCACATAGCAATAGAAGGACTGTTTGAAATGTACCTCTGCATCAGGGCTGGTGACGTTTTCAAGTATAAGTTTGGCCTGCTGGAAATGTTTACTGGCTGCCATATAGAGATCCGCTGAGCGAGGAGGAGGATTGTACTTCTTCAAATCTGACATTTCCTACATTTACACACACACACAAACACAGTTTACTTTAATCTTTGGACAGGATAGTTGCAGTAAACATGACCCTGAAGTGAGTAAAATCAGAGCTACCTTAAACTGGATGTAGTGCACTGGTGGCGGTGTGACAACACTGTTGAAAGGGGCGAATCGATGCTCGTAGCGAACCTGCTCGCTGTCCAGTTCAAACTGAGGCTTGCGCACCTTTCTGTCCATATCCAACGCTATCATGGTCTGCAGAAATAAAGACTTTTAGTTTATTCAAAATACATTAAAAATACAACTCACACACATACAATGACTCGAATCCACCCCTTCAATGATGAGTATGTTTCTAATTTCGACATTAAAATTAATTTTCATTTGGAACGAAGTCAAAACCTGGGGGTACAATGAGTACTCCATTGTGTGTGTGTGTGTGTGTGTGTGTGTGTGTATGTGTGTATCAGGAAGCATCACCTTGTACATGCCAGCACACATGTTCTGGTAAGCTTGGCTCATGGTGATCTCTTTACTCAGAGGACGAGCTGAGGAGACAATGAAAACACAATAAGCGAGTCAGACCCAAACATCCCCATCCCATAGCAAGTGCAACTGTTGAATGAACGTGGGCCTGTGAGAACCTTTCTTCTTCTTCTTGCTCTTTTTGCTGCTTCGTACTTTCAGCTGCTCCTCCAGGATTCTCTCCTCTGCCATCTGAGAGCTGTCCGCTCGACTCAACGTGGACATGAGCCACGCATACAGGAACTCCGACAGGTACCTGAACATACATGGAGAGAAAGATATATCATTACTATTTTAATATTTATCTGACTCTCAGAATTTACCAGGCTGTTTAGCTACGGTCCCTTTAAGACTATATGCAAATGACCTCTGTTATGATTGGCTAACTTCTTCATGTGTAATACTAAATCCGACATTAACGTGCTAGCACTTTGGACTTCATTTAGGGAATCTTTCACGGATGCATCAATATTAAAACTGTGGCTGATGCCGATAATTCTAATAATATATATTAAATATATAATCATAATACTGACATATTATATTCAAAAATATTTTTGTTACAGAATTATTAAACAATTGTTATTATTTTTACTCATCCGCGATGCCTGGCGGTGGCGCTGGATATTACTTTTAATATTATTAAAAAATATATTTTATAAAGTTTTTGTTATGTATTAAAGGTTGTATCAGTGATTTCTGGCCCAAAAATAAATGTCTAATCTTTCCTAACGATCCGCTAGCTGCTCGCCCCATAAGCATGCCGTCCAAAAACCGCGTCTCTGTAGGCAGCCTAGGCTCTGAGATCTGCACACAAAAACAAATGTGTACAACCACCACTCAAAACCAAAATAAACAGTGTTCCAACCAATCACTGACAGGGGCGTCAGTGATTGGTTGGAACACTTTATTTTGGTTTTGAGTGGTGGTTGTACACATTTGTTTTTGTGTGCAGATCTCAGAGCCTAGGCTGCCTACAGAGACGCGGTTTTTGGACGGCATGCTTATGGGGCGGGCAGCTAGCGGATCGTTAGGAAAGATTAGACATTTATTTTTAGGCCTGAAATCACTGATACAACCTTTAAGTGCTATTATGCTATTTTGAATGTTCCTAATTTTGTTTTGGATTTCTCCTACAATAGGTGTAAGGCATCCAAGGTCAAAAAACATTAAATTTCTCATAATATACATTGCAGCTTCACTTCTTTTCTCACAGTGTCTGAAATGGTTCAATAAACTATTCAGTCTCTATCAACCCCTCCTTTCCGAAAGCCTACTCTGCTCTGATTGGTCAGATGAGCCAGTTTGTTGTGATTGGTCTAGTGCTTACAGTGCGTGTCAGAAACCAAACACACATTACCATATCTGAATTTCAGCACTGGACACTTCCTTCCTGTTTTGTGTGTGCCTGTGCATTCTGATCTGTCAATAGCATTTAAAGCATGTTTGTTTAGCTGTCGTACCAGTAGATGTAATAATACTCATGCATGCTGTAGAGCTCCAGCTCGAAGCCGCTGAGCAGGTACTGGATCATGATGCGCAGGTTATGATAGAGGATCCAGGTGCCCAGACAGGCTAAATGCTGCCTTTGAGGCTCCAGCTTCATCAGAAGACCGTGAAGAGCAGCGTCCACCTTCTCAGCCTAAACACCAACAAACACACTCAATGATGCTTTACAACCGACAGGATGGCAGCAGACTTTCAGAAGCATGACAATTTTGGTTAAAGGGATAGTTCACTTTGAAATACATTTTTGGTATGTTTTAGCTTACCTCAAGGGCATCCAAGATGTAGGTGTCTTTGTTTCCGCAGTAGTTTCAATTTTGATATTTTTAGGTCAAACCGTTCTTGTCTGTCAGTCATATAATGCAGGTCTATGGTGACTTCCTCAAAGAGCATGCACAGAGAAGTCCAAATTAAACATGATTTAATGATTTGATAAATGTAAATACACATTGATGGCCTAAGACATGAAACGAGCGGTTTGTGTGAGAAAACGAACGGTATTTATATCGTTTTTACCTCTTGTAACCACAGCCACGTGATCTGAGGGCGCGGGCGCTTCGGTCTTTTCCGGCAAGCGCCGGAAGTGATCTCTCGCGCGTGTACGTCACTCATACAATTGTTTTATTTATTTATTTTTTTAATTGCTTTCTTTTACAATGGTTTAAACATCCCGGATAAACGCAAATTAGTACCATTTTAATTAGCCGTCTTACCTACAATCTCTGTTCTGTGTAAACAATGAGTGACGTACACGCGCGAGAGATCACTTCCGGAAAAGACCGAAGCGCCGGCGCCCTCAGATCACTTGGACGTGGCTGTGGTTACAAGAGGTAAAAACGATATAAATACTGTTCGTTTTCTCACACAAACCGCTCGTTTCGTGTCTTAGGCCATCAATGTGTACTTACATTTACGAGTCATTAAATCATGTTTAATTTGGACTTCTCTGTGCATGCTCTTTGAGGAAGTCACCATAGACCTGCATTATATGACTGACAGACAAGAACGGTTTGACCTAAAAATATCAAAATTGAAACTACTGCGGAAACAAAGACACCTACATCTTGGATGCCCTTGAGGTAAGCTAAAACATACCAAAAATTAATTTCAAAGTGAACCATCCCTTTAAGTGGACTTTCAAAGGACGGGCAATAAAGATTTAAAATATATTAATTTGTGGTTTAAAGATGGGTTTGAAACGACATAGTGAGTAAATTATGACAGAACTTTTCATTTTTGGGTGAACTAACCCTTACATTTATGCATTTAGAACTTACAAAAGAGGAACAAAAGCAATAAATCTAATTCATTGACCGCTTTTAGTTCTTTGTAATAAACACCTATGAATCATGAGGAACAAGACCAGAAACACTTATTAAAAGAATAGTTCACCCAGAAATTAAAATTCATCAATCCTTTACTCAAAACCTGTATGAATTTCTTTCTCTGCTGAACTCAAAAGTAGATATTTTGGAGAATATGGAAACCGAACAGTTAATGGGCCCCATTGACTTCATAGTATCTTCAAAATATCTTCTTCAGAAATGCATACAGGTTTGGAGCAACTTGAGGGTGAGTAGATGCTGACAGAATTTTCATTTTTGGGTGAACTGTACCTTTAAGAAAGTATTAGGTTAAATTTTTTATTCATGTCAACTTTAACCAAACAAAACACATCTACGCACCTCGTCCTGAAGGGTGGCAAACTCCTCCAGTATGTGACCCAGCTTGTCTCTCTGGCGTGCTCTGTTGTGTCCGTGAATCTGGATAAGGCTGCAGAATGGCTGTGACACAAAATAACATCTAATCTTAATTCATCTAATCGAAAACACTATTTCACCTGCTGCAATAACATATCAAACAAAATGAATCACAAACCCGTGTGCAGTGTGTGACAAAGGAGTCAATGTAATCTTTAGCCTGGTGGTTATTGTTCAAACTGCATCTGTGAAAACAGTGAGGGAATATGATGTCATCTTAAAAGAGTCATGAAATGTGAATTTTAGCAAGATAAGGACAGGCAGAAGAAAAACTAAAACAGAATCACGAAACTAAGAATAACATTAGTTCAGCTTTAATAGTAAAAACGTAGTTTAAATGTTTTCAAAAGAGTTCAACATATAATACTTGTTAGCAGTGTTAGCACAAAAAATGTTAGCAGTGGGTATTTACGTCTTAAAATTTTAAAGGAGAAATGCCGCTTTAAATGGAGTGTTTAAATCAGTGGGCTTAAATCATGGTAGAAAATGGGGTAAAAATATTTTACAGTGTTACTTTGTTACACGTTACATGTAGTTACTATAGTAATACCTATAAATGATGCATTATTACATGCAACTAAACCAAACCCCAATCCTAACCCTGTAGTGAGTACATGTAATTCATTAATATTACTCAGTACTTAAACGTATACTCAACACTGTAACAAGGACATCTCAAAATAAAGAGTAACCGAAAATGGTCTCTTCTTTCTAAATTGTGTTTTTTTTTAATGCAAAAATCCTACTAACATTATAAATGCACCTCGGGAAACATTGTAAATAAAAAAACAAATGCAGAAACTTCATGTAATTTATAAGCAACAAATTAATTAAAGAGTAAATAATATAGAGTGAAGAAATAATCACTCACTTTGTGGAGAGGACAGGTGGGCTGACAAAATAGCGCAATGCATCTTTAATCATATCCTGCATCAGATGAGTCCCAAACACCTTCTTATTGTCAATCAGAAATGTGGTCTGCATCACACACACACAGACAGACACACACACACACACACAGAAGTATTATCAGACTATCTACATGTCAGTCTAACCAGTAACCATCCTATTATTCTGTCACTATATGTAACAATTTATCCGAGACCAGTTTTATATGTGATATAGTTATGTGTTAAATGTGTTATTCGTTGATAATTAAGCATTTAAAAAATGCATTTCTTGACCAGAGAAGTTTATTTATTATTTTTTAAAGCCACGGCAGCAGCAAGGCGATGTTCATGTTGAGAAAAAGAGTGAATAAGTCATACAATTAAAAAAGGCTGTATAAGACATTTAAAGTCACCATGAAATCAAATGGACAATTCCTGTTTTTTTATGTAATGCTGCAGTGTTTTCTTTTATAAATGATAAATAATTGATGTGCCCTCATAATCTTTCATTAAAATAATTTCCCCTCCCTCTTGCAGTTGGGCAACCTGTCACTAACATGAGATCACAGCAATAGCAAACCACAACCATCCAATCAATTCCCCAAAGACAAAATTGAGTCAATTTTTCCTCATTCAAGAAGCCGTTTCACTCGGATACACGTCAGAATAGGACAGAAAGGACGATCTGAACTTCCATTTTATGCTGAATTTAAGATTAATGCAAAACAAATTCAGACGATACTTCAATTACATCAGTTGAACATATGTCTGAATAAAAACCTTGTCTCTTTAGATTTAAAACAGTCCAGTAGCATATCTTTAACAGTCATTAAAGATTAAGAAATATTTAGTTTTTTTGTCCATTTTCTATATATTCCAGATCTCTGAGTAAAGCACAAGCTTCAGATGTAAAGATATTTATGTCAGATGAAGTTGGTCTTACCTGTAGCAGAGATCTAGACATCACACACGGAGACTGCTCACTGAACTCACAGAAGAAATCCTGAAACCACAAACACTCATCAGGATTAGTTACAGTTCTCTCGAATACTACCACAGAATGCATGTGTTAATACCCAGTTATGTTACCAAGATGCTGTGCAGGTTGGTTATGTTGATGACCTCACAGACATTTTTAATGCGCTCAATGAGTTTGCTGAAGTAGTTGACCATCTCTTCTCTCTTAATGATCTTGGCGTAGCGTGGGAAAGTGGGCGGGAGCAGGCGCTGGTTAACCAGCGGCTCAAAACCCATCATGATTGGGTGATCTGGAAAAAGCATGGTGTGTACATTTGGGGAATTAGAAAATTAATTCAACATTACATTTTTAATTGTTTTGAGACTGTTACCTCCTTTGGTTGTGTCATTCTGTGACTGTATTCCATACTGTATAGAGGAGTGTATCGCGGGCAGTAAGTCAGCAGCCTGAGTCATCAGCTTCTGTGCTTCGCTGACAGCACTCGTCTTAAATGCCGAATCACCCAATAAAAGATTAGATATTTGTGAAGCAATATGCTTGAGTGAATTTAATAGTGTCATACCTCTTTTTTAGTGAAGGAGATGAGCGCGCTAAGCAGCAGGCGAGTGAATTTAACACGGCTGAAGAGAGCCAAGCATTGCTGATGCTGAAGGCAGAAGAGAAGGATGATGATCAAAACTCTCAGGATTTCTGTACAGTGCTGTCGTCTGGCTGATAATACACGCCAATAACACCCAAAGCATCCACACATCTCTTTATCTTCAGTTTAGCCTTCGGGGAAATGATTATGTACTTACATCCAGTTCCACCTCAGGATCTCTTTGTTCACCCTGTCGACTGCGTGTACTCTGTAAAAAAAAAAAGAAAAAGGAAGAAACAAATATTTAACAAGTCAAGAAAAAAGAAGGAAAAGCTACAAGGTATCGTGCAAAGTCTTGAGATGGAGTCACCATACCTTTACTTTCCTCTGAAGTTCATCCTCAACATCTTTCAGCATTCCTATAGAAATTTTAAATGGCGAAATGAAAAGACTGAACAACAAAATCCTACAAAAACATGTAGTTAATTTACATTTTGCATAAGGAAGACGAAGCCTAATATTTTGCAACGCTGCATTATTTTAATCATAATTAACAACATTTACCCTTAAATTCTTTTTACTGTAGTTCATCTAGATGCTTTACTTTTCGTTTTTTCTACACTATCTTTCAAAAGTTTGGGATCATTAGGAATTATTACTAGTTTTATAAGTTTCTATTGCTCACCAAGGCTGCATTTATTTGATCAAAAATACAGTAAAAACAGTAATATTGTGAAATATTATTACAATTTAAAATAACTTTTGTATTTTAACATATAATTCATTCAGATTCATTTTATTTAAATAGGGACAATGCACAAGTTAACATTAACCTTGTTTAAAAAACAAAGAGAGATGCATTGTGCCAGGCTGTAGCACAAGTGCTATTTTCCGCCCGTAGTCCCCATTAAAACTACATTTCCATTACTGCAGTCTTCAGTGTCACATGATCCATCAGAAATCATTCCAATGTGCTAATGTCACTTTTTGTCAGAATTGGTGAGAAAAGGTGCTTTATTGTCACAACAGTGAAAAATAAATCAAATTGAAAGTAAATACTAAAATTATTTTATTTACGCAAAATATAAAAATCACAATCGAGATCGGTCTTTACACTCACCTGTCACTCTCAGATCTGTTACGTTATTTGCCATTTTAAAGCCGTAAGTCATGGCCTGAAAATCTTCCTGCGATTGGAAAACAGAAAAATTCATTTTTACTGAATAAACCAACAGAAAAATTCAATTACAATAAAAAGTACAATAAAAATAAATGGTGACTGGTGACTAATGGCCACACCGCAACTAAATATTTCATTTATAAATAATCTACATATCGTCAGTAATAATACCAGGCATTTTTAAGGCATGGAGGCATGTAAACCTATTGTAGGAGACCTTCAAAACAAAATATGGAAACATTTAAAATAGCATAACGGGGGCAATTTAATAAAACAACACAATTTGAACAAGAGTCACATAAGACAATTGAATGTGTCTTGCCTCCTCAAACACAGCGGCTTTGTTGACTTTCTCGCGGGCGATGTCGCAGATCTTGAGGATGCCCAGAGCGAAGGCTTTAAGAGCAGGGTCTTGAATAAGATCCGGGTTATGAACATATAGACACGTAAACACAGTCTGAGCCAGAGAATGCCCCTCCAGCCATGTGATCTGAGACAGATGAAGACAACATGACAGAATATTCAATACAGTCAGTAAACTCAAATGCAGCTTTTTCCAGCCACTGCTTTCTTTAGTATACACTACCATCTCAATGTCACATGATCCTGCAGAAATCATTCTAATATGCTGATTTGATTTGAAGAAACATTTCTTATTATTATCAATGTTGAAAACAGTTGTGCTGCATAATATTTTTGTGGAACCATGATAATATTTGTCCATGAAAATAAAGTTGTTGTTGTTTTTTATCATTACAGACACTTTATTATTTTTATTATAATGTTTTTTTACTTTGCAATTGATACACAGCTTCATGAAACAACTTTTTGTGTTTGACGATATCAATACTGACCAGACAGCAAAAACATGTGTCCATGATCCCGATGAGCTCAGGAATACTCAGATCCTTCACTCGTATGGCCTCATCCTTCAGAAAAAGAGGAAGACAGAAGGAATAAGAAATAGGAAAGAGAGACGAAAAGAGAGAGTACACTTTCAGTAAAGTATAGTACTGTGAATAATGTAAATAAAAGCCTAAACCAAATCTGTTCTGTTTTAGAAAATTTGGACTAAACCGCTCAATTCATATGGATTAGTTTTACGATCCCTTTATGAACTTTTTGAAGCGTCAAAGTGGTAGTTGCGTAGATGTCAATGGAGGGACAGAAATCTCTCAGATTTCATCAAAAAGATCTTCATTTGTGTTCCGAAGATGAACGAAGTTCTTACAGCCAGGTTTGGGTGAGGAATTAATGACAGAATTTTCCTTTTTGGGTGAGCTGTCCCTTTAAACTCACTATATTCAGGTTCATTATTACAATTACATCCCTTTACGAGACAAAATAAAAGATCAGGAGCGAGGTGAACCCAGCTCTTTCGAGTGCTACCTTAACAGCTTGTTCAAAGTTGAGGACTTTACGGTTGACTTGGTTTCCGATCATCCCAGCATCCATCTTCGGATCCATCATCTCGATGGCTGACATCGCCTCAAACAGACCAAACCTACAGGAACACGAGCATTACGTATACCGAACGGATGCACCAAATGTTGAATTACATGTAAAAGTATTTCTTTGCTCAAAAAAATGTAATAAAAATGTCTTACAGTTTGTCATGGAGCAACTCGCCAAGTTTGAGCTCTGCAAAAACAAACTCATTTAATCAGCAAATTTGGTTTCAGATTCAAGATTAATCAACACGTGAGCACAATAAAACACGACTGATGGCAACAGAACGGTCCAAAAATCTCCTGTGCACAATAACACAGATGTATTGAGGTGACTTATGGCGCAGTGCTGGAGCTCAATCATGATGTGGTCAAGCTCAAATGGGAAAGGAAGTTAATTTTAGAACTCTTAGTGACCATAAATGGTAAAAATTAAAATATCAGCAAAATTTCTGCAGCCATGCCCCATTGCACTTTTAGATGATGGATCTTACATGCAAAGACACAATATCCTCGTGAATCACAGATCACTGATCAGAATATTGTCTGTAATGGGATATGAAGTCTGCATCCTGTTGTTTAGGAATATAACTTTTTACTTTTATAAATAACTGGCAGTTGCAGGCTACATGGCCATTTTTTTTTTGCTTGTTTTTGGAAAAATCTGGTTTGAATATTAATGTAAATGTTATATAAACAAGGAATATTTTTCTCCATCTTTCTCAGGGCTTTGTGGAAAATGGCTATTCTGAGAAAAGACCGTTGTGATCATTGACAGTGACATCTACTGTGGAGTTCAGCCAATGATAACTCAAAGCTTTGTCGTGCCCATGAAACACACACACTCCTATGCAAAAAAAAACAAAAAAAGAAAAGATGGACCAAGCGCAAACTGGCTAAATACTAAGCTTTTGTCTTACCCACAAATTATTGGTCAGGAAATTAGCCAAATGCACTACTAAAAAAAGCCATTGCTCTCATAGAAAAACATCAAAGCCAGAATAAAGTTTTTGGCAGAATATGGGAAGTTGGTTCAGGCTCTGTGGTTCTGTAGTGAATATTTGGTCTCACATTAAACTCAAATGAACTGGGAGACATTTTTGAACTACTCTGAGGCCATTAACTTTGAGCAGAACAACACTGACTCTTCTTCCTGTAAAAAAGCAGTCTGAGAGTTGGGGAAGGCTATTCTGCGCTAAGTTTCTTTATCTACAATATTTGTGCAATTCTTGCTAATTTCCTGACCAGTGATTTGTGATTAAAATGGTAAAAAAAAAAACATCAAAAGACCACTAAATATTTTTTTACTACATTTTTGGCTTGGCCCATTTGTTTTGCCACATAGTGCACACACATAGACACACACCTTTACAAGCTCCTTTGAATTCTTTGGTGACGTCCACCCAGTCGGCATTGTTTCTCATCTTCTCTGGGATCCCAAGACCCCAACCTCCCTCCTCCTCCTCTACCGATGACTTCATCACCATTGAGACAGCTACGAACATAAAAAAATATGTGCATTAAAACCATTTTTATTAAAGGGAAAGTAAGACTTTGGAACAAGATTGAAGATATTTTTGATGAAATCTGAGAGATTTCTGTCCCTCCATTGACAGCTGCCAAACTTCCACTTTAACGTTCATAAAACTAATCTTTATTAATTGAGCGGTTTAGTTAAAATTTTCTAAAGAGACTCGATCGCTTTATATGATGAACATAACGAACATAAACAGAAGCTCAACCGAACCTTCTTGACTCGCGAGAATGAACCTCATTGGGTCTCACACGTCCAACGAACATGCTTGAGCTTTCGTTTACAACTTCACAACTGATGTGTGAGTTGATGAATGTTTATATGTGAATAAAAGCATAAATTCGATCTGTTCATCACATTAAGCGATCGTGTCTCTTCAGAAAATGTTGGACTAAACCGCTCAATTCATATGGATTAGTTTTACGATCTCTTTATGAACTTTTTGAAGCGTCAAAGTCGTAGTTGCGTAGCCTCAGATTTCATTAAAAAGTCTTAGGCCTATGGGTTTGGAATGACATTCATTGTGAGTAAATAATGACAGAATTTTCATTTTTGGGTGAACTAACCCTTTAAGAGTTGCCAGGAATATCTTGTACAAGCACATATTAATATGACAAATTAGGGAATATAAGGGAAAGACAGAATATTTAATTAATAATGTATATGATTATGTAAACAATGGAACTATATCAAGACTTCATATTGAGCGTGAGGGCCACTTCAACAGTTTGCACGACTAAAATTGAGTGTTTTTAAATAACTGGGTTTCAGCACAATATATGTCTCAAAACCTTGTGAGTTACCAACCTATAGACACATTTTGGGGCAATATATGCAACACCACATGATGCGGTCTCGGTAGGCAGTTCACTAGGTTGAGCACAACTAAATATGTCCTTATTGGGCATTTCTTCAAGCTACAATCAGGCATGACAGACCATAGGCATAGGCACAGACACTCAAACAAACTCCAGTATTTTGCTAGGTTAAATACTGTACTAATGAGGACACTTGTGGAGAAGAACTCATGGTCACTGTACTGCAACCTCCCTTTGTTGTTGTTACTGGTCGACGACGAATCGTCTTTGAATTCAGGTGAGTGTTTTAATGGATATAATAGGATATTAATTACACGTTTGATTTGGTCAAATTATTTAAATACAGAACCACCATCGATGTGTCAAACTGCACATGCACAAATAGCCAATGACATTAGCGAAGAGCGATAAATGCTAAGCTGACTAACCCCTAACATATATCATTAGTGCTAAATATATACTTTAAAACATTTGAAATACATATTTATTAACAAAAAGAAATTCAAAGGGTACATAAATACAATACCTTTAGAAAGGCAGTCTTTCTGTGCTGTTGCAAATATACAGCGCTGCTGCAGCGGACGCCTGTGAATGACATCATACTGTGATTTGCATTCTGGGACATGTAGTTCTGAGCTTTGAAGCCGTAAAATATGTAAGATGTTTGTTATAACTTGTTATTTATTCTGGTTAAAAATATTATTACTTTGTCAAAATGTTTAATCTATAAATATAGGCCTTAATAATAATATATTCAATCTACACTTTACAATAAATATAATATTTCATATAACATTTAATAATTATTTTATGATAAAAAATAAATAACAATGATTAAAAACATAAATAACAATAAATAAAAATAGCAATGACAATAAATAATAACAAAATCACAAAATTAAAAGCAATGTAAGAAAATAATGTATCACGATGTTTGTAAAACGTAAACGTAAAATTTATAATTATATATATATATATATAATAAATAATATATATAAATATAATAACATACAAATCTAGAAAATATATATAAACAAACAAACACATATATAAAAAAAATTATGTTAGATGCGATTCATCGATTTGCATATGTGTAATATAAATGACTAATGGTTTTTTTACTCACGTCTACCGTCGTTACGTTAGTCACGCTAGAAGCAGCGCAGCGCTGTGTGTGGACGCTGATCTGTAGTCCATCTGTGCGTCAGACTCTGATGTGACACATGAGGTGCAGATCCTGGATTCTGCGCCAGCTCTGTTACTGGACGCGCCCTCACTTCCGAGTGTGTGTTGGGGGTTAGAGTCAATAATAATAACACCATCAGGGGGCTTGTGTTGTGTCTGTGCTGCCAAGAGATCGCGCTGCGAGGAGTTCAGATGGCGCAGCTCTCGCATGCTTTAAAGGTTGGTGCTCGCATGTATTTTATGCATGTGCCAGTGACAGAGATCAGCTGTCCTGTTAGCGTATCTGTGCTAACACTGGAGCTTTCTCTGTAGGACAGGTGGATCTGACATGATCCTGAGTGGACTTCATTCATACAGGAGGGGTTTTATCAACTTAATAATTAATAATGCCTTTGAATTAATTATTCATTAGCTGATCTGAATCTGACTGTAATATATAGCCAACCTCCTCTGACAGCCTAATTTAAATAGGAGTGGACTGTACTTGCACAATTACTGGCCTTGGCTCAAAACCTAATGTGCTCCCTACATGGACAGCTTTTTTGGGAGCCTATTATGCCCTAAAATGGCTGTCCAGATTGAAAGCACAGTAGGTTTCCATGTCCTAAAAATGCTGTCTGTGTGGGCAGGTAGGCTAGCCTATGATGCACAAACAATATTGTTTATGTTGACAGCTCTCTAGAGTTTGATGCTTTAAAATGTCTGTGTGGACAGCAAATATAATCTAGTTAGGAAGCTCAGTAGATTTTGATGCTTCAAAATGCTCTGAAATAGGCTTTTACACCCTAAATGCTGTTGGAAGCTCTTCTAAAGTTTGATGTCTAAAAATGAAGTCTTTATAGGCAGAAATGCTGTCTAGGTAGGAAGCTCAGTAGGTCTTAATGCCCAAAAATGCATGTGGACTGTTAGATTATGATGGCCATTGGCCAACAATCTTGCCTAGTGTGGCAGCTCAGTAGGCACTGATGCACAAGAGAGTGTTTTCACAAGTGTGTAGTGTTTTCATCTAGGTAGCTGTATAGGTAGTTTGCTCACTAGGTTTTGAGACACAGCCGTTAATCTTGATTTAGATTCTTGCTGCTGTTTTTGTTTTTTCCTCCCTTGAATAAGTAAAATGCTTATGATTTAAGACGGTATAAAGTGGCCTATGTTGCTGTGTAAACTCAGACTGATTTTAATGCAATAGTGTGACTTGATTCTCTTTATAAATTTAAATGTGATTTTCTGTAAAAATGCATTTCTACATTTCCCCCCCTCAGCAGTCAGTTTGACGTTTTATTGAATGTGAGAAGATATGAATAAACCCAAAATGGCAGCAGAAAAAAGGTTAGTTTTTGTTTCCAACTTAAATACACACGTAGTAAGCTTTGCCAGTGTGTACTTGGCCTGTTGTGATGGTTTCCTGTGTTCCCAGTGCTTCCCGGGTGCTGATGTTGCTGAGTCAGCTGGAGAGACTGAACGAGGAGCCCAAAGTCTCTGATAAGGATGCCATCCGACAAATCACAGGAAAAGTCCTTCACCTCATCCAGACCCAAGGTGACCTGACACACAAAACCAATGCATTAACACAATGCTTGATCAGCAGCTTCAAACATGCTCAATAATTCCTGGTCTTTTTGTGGGAAATTAAGGGACTTAAAGTGCCCCTATTATGCTTTTTCAGATATTACCTTTCATTCAGTGTGTTACATAGATGTTTGTGAATGTAAAAGGTCAGCAAAGTTTTAAAGATAAATACTATTAGTAAATACTAATGTTAACCAAAAGCCAAATAGCTATTCAGATATTGTTTTTTAACTATTTAGATTTGAATAGATTTTTCAGGGTTGTCTTGAATGTCCCGTTCTCCTCCAAAGTTGGTAGTAGGACTGTAATAGGAAACATTCACTTATTGGTAGCATTTTATAAAACCAATGAGGTTCATTCCTGTGTTACGCATCATGTTTGAGCTTCTGCAAGAACCAATGAGGTTCATTCTCGTGTTACGCATCACGTTTGAACTTCTGCAAGAACCAATGAGGTTCATTCTCGTGTTACGCATCACGTTTGAGCTTCTGCAAGAACCAATGAGGTTCATTCTCGTGTTACGCATCATGTTTGAGCTTCTGCAAGAACCAATGAGGTTCATTCTCGTGTTACGCATCACGTTTGAACTTCTGTAAGAACCAATGAGGTTCATTCTCGTGTTACGCATCACGTTTGAGCTTCAGCAAGAACCAATGAGGTTTATTCTCGTGTTACGCATCACGTTTGAGCTTCGGCAAGAACCAATGAGGTTCATTCTCGTGTTACGCATCACGTTTGAGCTTCGGCAAGAACCAATGAGGTTCATTCTCGTGTTACGCATCACGTTTGAGCTTCGGCAAGAACCAATGAGGTTCATTCTTGTGTTACGCATCACGTTTGAGCTTCGGCAAGAACCAATGAGGTTCATTCTTGTGTTACGCATCACGTTTGAGCTTCGGCAAGAACCAATGAGGTTCATTCTCGTGTTACGCATCACGTTTGAGCTTCGGCAAGAACCAATGAGGTTCATTCTCGTGTTACGCATCATGTTTGAGCTTCTGCAAGAACCAATGAGGTTCATTCTCGTGTTACGCATCACGTTTGAACTTCTGCAAGAACCAATGAGGTTCATTCTCGTGTTACGCATCACGTTTGAGCTTCAGCAAGAACCAATGAGGTTTATTCTCGTGTTACGCATCACGTTTGAGCTTCGGCAAGAACCAATGAGGTTCATTCTCGTGTTACGCATCACGTTTGAGCTTCGGCAAGAACCAATGAGGTTCATTCTTGTGTTACGCATCACGTTTGAGCTTCGGCAAGAACCAATGAGGTTCATTCTCGTGTTACGCATCACGTTTGAGCTTCTGCAAGAACCAATGAGGTTCATTCTCTTGTTACGCATCACGTTTGAGCTTCTGCAAGAACCAATGAGGTTCATTCTCTTGTTACGCATCACGTTTGAGCTTCTGCAAGAACCAATGAGGTTCATTCTCTTGTTACGCATCACGTTTGAGCTTCTGCAAGAACCAATGAGGTTCATTCTCGTGTTACGCATCATGTTTGAGCTTCTGCAAGAACCAATGAGGTTCATTCTCGTGTTACGCATCACGTTTGAGCTTCAGCAAGAACCAATGAGGTTCATTCTCGTGTTACGCATCACGTTTGAGCTTCTGCAAGAACCAATGAGGTTCATTCTCGTGTTACGCATCACGTTTGAGCTTCTGCAAGAACCAATGAGGTTCATTCTCGTGTTACGCATCACGTTTGAGCTTCGGCAAGAACCAATGAGGTTCATTCTCGGGTTACGCATCACGTTTGAGCTTCTGCAAGAACCAATGAGGTTCATTCTCGTGTTACGCATCACGTTTGAGCTTCGGCAAGAACCAATGAGGTTCATTCTCGGGTTACGCATCACGTTTGAGCTTCGGCAAGAACCAATGAGGTTCATTCTCGTGTTACGCATCACGTTTGAGCTTCGGCAAGAACCAATGAGGTTCATTCTCGTGTTACGCATCACGTTTGAGCTTCTGCAAGAACCAATGAGGTTCATTCTCGTGTTACGCATCACGTTTGAGCTTCTGCAAGAACCAATGAGGTTCATTCTCGTGTTACGCATCACGTTTGAGCTTCGGCAAGAACCAATGAGGTTCATTCTCGGGTTACGCATCACGTTTGAGCTTCTGCAAGAACCAATGAGGTTCATTCTCGTGTTACGCAGCACGTCTGAGCTTCGGCAAGAACCAATGAGGTTTGTTCTCACGCGTCAAGCATGCATTGAGCTTCTATTTATGTTCGCTGATCAATGTTTATATGTGAATGAAAGCCTACATTTAATCTGTTCATAATATAAAGCGATCGTGTCTCTTCAGAAAATTTGGACTTAATCACATGGATTTGTTTTACGATCTCTTTTTGAAGCATCAAACGGCCTGAGCTTGCTGAGATGCTGAAGAGATCAGCTGTGAAATGTGACAGCTCTGGGATATCCAGCACTCGCTCGCTCTTCCCCCTGACCCCCGCTGACCGTAACTGTACACCGCATATGCGTAATATCTCTACTGTCTGCACAGTGACGCCCAGTCGCCCACACCATGCCATCAGCAACTGAGAGAAAGTATGGAAATGTTCCCACGTCTCCGAATGGTCGCCCCTTGTGCCCTCTCTCTCGCTCGCTCCCTCCCTCCCTCTCTCAGAGATCCCCTTCACATTTTCTCTCTCTCTCTCTCTCAGTTCCCCTTCAAATTCTCGGCCATATCCTCACACGCTCGTGACCGTCATTGATCTGTCATGGGCTTTGCAGGCGTGTGTGTTTTGACTGACAGCTCCTGGGCTGTGGGAGGGGTCTGTGTCTATGTGAAATATGATTACCCCGGTGTAGAATTTCCCCAGTATCAGTGTTATGGATGAAGCGCTGGAGTGTGTTCAGGTTATGAGAAGAGGCA